CGACACACATCGTCCTTGTCTCCCTCGATTCATCCAGAGGCCCTCTTTCTTCGCCGGACGCTATCGGGAAACGACAGGCCACTACAGGCCACTACAGTACACTACAGAACACTACAGAACACTACAGAAAAAAGCAGCCCCTAGTCCAGGGCCTGTAACCGCTACCGTTCAACTCCACAGTCGCTGCCACAACACAGACACGCAACGCAGCACGCAGCACGCTACCGGCTGCTACCTGCCATCTCTTCGCTCTTTCCTCCCAAAGCACCCAAAGCACCCAAAGCCCCAGAGCCTAGGGCCCCAGCATCATCGCCCTCTATCCCCTCCCCTCGGCCGCTCCCACTGTCTGTCGCTTCTCTCTCGACAACGGCGACGTCGAAATCTCCCTCGTTCATCCTCGGCAACCTCCTCTCATCATCCTTTGTCATTCCTCCCCTCATACCCTCTTTCTGCTGTCTCGACAAGCGAACCCTCCTTCCCCTTGAGCGACTCAACCGCTCCCGTCCTCCCCCACAATGTCGACGCCTACCACGGCCACTGCGACGCTTCCTCACTACGCCGCTGGCTACCCATTCTCCCACCAGTCGTCGTACCGGCCGACACATCCTCATTCCGGCCCGTCGGGTCGTCTGGCGCCTCCACAGGTGTCCTCACCGTCGTCTGCGTCGGCCTCGTACGCTCCCTATTCCCCGTCGTCCTCCCATCTCATCCCGGCCGCCGTGGCCAACGGGGCCGCTGTTGCTGCGAACCACACCAACCACGCCAATCACGCTCGGCAGCCACAGCACCAGGCACCGCAACACTATCACCACACAACCGCCCACAGCCAACAGGGCCAAAACCACGTTTCGTCCTCGTCGTCACAGCACAACGGACACCACGCCGGGCCCTACGGGTCGCACGGGTCGCACGGATCGGCTGTTTCCTCGCCGAGCTACTCGGCCACCACAACCATTACTCTCCCACCGCCCTCACGGCTGTCCCACGGGACGGCTGCCACGGGCACCACGCCCTCGGCCTCGACCCTCGACGCCACCTCCCAATCGTCCATGCATGCCGCCATGGGCTCGTCACAACACGGAGATTCACAGCCGCCACGCAAGCGTCGCCGATCGGGCCCGCCGGATTGGGGCTCGTTCTACAAAAATGGCCTGCCGCAGGAGGTCATTGTGATTGAGGACAGCCCCGAGCACGACGCGCCTGTCCACGGTCGCTACGGCAGCGGACACGGTGCAGCCTCGGGAAGCCGCAATGGCACACATGGTTCACACGGTGCTCACGGTGCCGGTGCCGGTGCCGTCGACGTTGCCGCCGTTGCCTACCACTACGACCAGAAAGACCAACTTGCCAATGGTGGCAGGGGTGCCACCGCCGACCGCCACATTGCTAAGAAGCGGCGGCGCACAGACGACCAGTATCCGCCGCCGCAGCAGCAGCAGCAGCAACAACAACAGACAACAACACTGCCGCCGGCCAGCTCCCTCGTGGCCAGCGTCGGCTCGACCAGCGGCAGCCGCTACGACCCGGTGCACAACTACCTTCAGCACCAGCACTCGAGCGGCTCGACCATTTCCAGCGAGCGGACCAACTCCAACTCCAACAATTCCAACGCGTCCCTGTATACCACGACGGGCACGGCCGCCAACACGGCCGCCACATCCCTCGTGTCCTCCAACGGGCAGTACGAGTACGACGTGGGCAGCCAGAAGCGCAAGCGGACGACGCGGCAGCAGGCGGCCAACGAGTCGAAGAAGCGCGACCGCGAGGCCGCGGCGCTGGGCCTCGCCTTTGCCAACTACCGGCCACCGCCCTTGCCGCCCGTCAAGGCCGCCGAAGTCGATGTCAAAGTCATTCGCGATGTACGTATTCCGGGTCCTTTTTCGGCTCGTGTGGAGTCTTGTCTAATAGCAACTAACATGGTCTTTTCCGTAGGCACCCCACTCCAAGAACGTCAAGGTCGACGACGACGACGGCCATTACATTGTCGTGCCGGAGACCGACCTGACCAAGCGATACCAAATGGTGAAACTCCTCGGCCAGGGCACGTTTGGCAAGGTCGTCCAGGCCCGCGACCGCGAGAAGAACGAACTCGTCGCCATCAAGATCATTCGCTCCGTGCAAAAGTACCGCGATGCCTCGCGAATTGAACTGCGCGTGCTCGAGACGCTCAAGGCGAACGACCGCGAAAACCGCAACCGCTGCATCCATTTGCGCGAATGCTTTGACTTCCGCGGTCACATCTGCATTGTCATGGATCTCCTGGGCCAGAGCGTCTTTGACTTTCTCAAGGGCAACGGCTTTGTACCTTTCCCTAACAGTCAAATCCAGAGCTTTGCCCGCCAGCTGTTTACCAGTGTTGCCTGTGCGTTTCGTTCCCGTCCCCCATTGATGTTCGACTCCATCCAATTTCGAATACTAATACTTTCGTCTAGTCCTCCACGACCTGCAACTCATCCACACCGATCTGAAACCCGAAAACATCCTCCTTGTCGATGCTAACTACCAGACGTTCACGTACAACCGCAAAATCCCATCGTCATCTACGACTGTCGGCCGCCAGGCTACTCAGCGACGTGTCTTGCTCGACACCGAGATTCGACTGATCGATTTTGGCTCGGCCACCTTCCAGGACGAATATCACTCCTCCGTCGTGTCCACGCGCCACTACCGCGCGCCCGAAATCATTCTCGGCCTGGGATGGTCGTTCCCGTGTGACATTTGGAGCATCGGCTGCATCCTGGTCGAGTTTTTCACCGGCGACGCCCTGTTCCAGACGCACGATAACCTCGAGCATCTCGCTATGATGGAAGCCGTTTGCGACGGCCGCATCGACACGCATCTCGTCCAGCAGGTCGTGAAGTCTACCCGTCACGGTGTCCGCCCCGCGGCCAAGTATGTCCTTGCACCCTTTCCTTTTCCTGGTTCTGTTGTCTTCTTTTTTTTTTTTTTGATCGTCGCCTAACACAGCCTACAGATACTTCAAGAGGTTAAAGCTCGACTATCCCTGTGAGGAGACTACGCGTGCTTCAAGGCGATTTGTGAAGGCCATGAAGAAGCTGAATGTAAGCAGACTGTGTGGAAGCGCACAACCAACACACTCCGCGCAGACCACACGAGCACACGAGCACACGGAGAACATGAACTGACCACCTCTCTCTCCAGGACATTATCCCCACGACCAACAATTTCCTGCGGCAATTCCTCGACCTGCTCAAGCGCATCTTCATCTACGATCCCGCCCAGCGCATCACCGCAAAAGAAGCCCTGCAGCACCCCTGGTTCCGCGAGATCGCCGTGCAAGACGACGGTACGGAGGCAGCTAAGATCCGCCACCAGCGTGCGCGCGCCTCGCGAGAACGAACTGCCTCTCGGGTCGCTCAGCCACATCCATAAATGGCCCTTCCGGAGGCAGCTTAGCCTTGCGTATTTTTGGAGATTCTTCTTTTTTCTTGTGACGCGGACACGACACGTATCTGGGAGGCCCAATCGGCCGCACGACTTGCCATTTTTATACGGGATTGCTATTCGGTTCTTCTTCTTCTCTTCTTGGAGCATTGGGGGCATGGACTTACTGCCTGAGGCAGATGGGGCGTACGACTTTCATTTTCCATTCTGATCGCATTGTGTTTGCTTGTCATTTTCTTTTTTGAAGACGACTGGAAACGGCCAGGGAGTGTGGGGGCCGTCTTTTGTTGTGATTTCACACGTTCTTGTCCTGTTATTTACTACGTTATATTCGTCTCGCAATATTCTGTTGCCCTCTCGTCTTTTTTTTCCCCAATTGCCACAACAAAACGCTTTTGATGTCCAGCTGCAGACCGCACCCTTCCTTCTGTCGGCCCGGTCTTTGTGAAGTTACACTGACCAGGCGTCGTCTAATGATTGCGACTGCATGTTTTATGCTACATCTTCATGTTGTATCTCTTATATTCATGTTGTTAGTGCTACGGTCCAAGTTTGTTGTCTGGTTGGGACACGGGCAGGCTGGCCACAAGGCCGTGGACGACCGGCCCGGACTGGAACAAAAAGTCAAAGAACAAATCGATCACGATGCAAATGAAATACGATAAGACGCAGCAACCCAAACCACCGCGATATCAAGTCACTGAAAACCTCCTATAGCCACTGACCTTCTTCTCTTGAATTCTTCTAGGTATGCATACTTGCGTTTTATTCATTACTGCTGTCTTCCAGATTTTTCTTTTTTTACCAGTTTTACCTTTGTCCTTGTCCCATTGTTCAGTTGCGGCCACAGGCCCAACTGAGAGAGCCAGAACATAGACAAAGCGCCGACATTTGTGCCTTTCATCAACAATGAACAAAGGGCAACGAAGGCGACGTGAGGCCATGAACACACCCTCTTTCACCTTGCCGGTAACCGAATTGAACGGCCTCCTTTACTTTGGGGGCGACAGCCTTGTTCATTGGCTTTTAGTTATGTTCCTACTGCCTCCCCATTACTCTCGTCTCCTTATTAACCTCGCAGCCGCGCATCGCCTCTTACCCCTATCACAAATCAATATGGCGCCCTGCACATTGCAGTTGTACACACAAGGCTGGCCTCTGTTTGTTCAGGCTGGCCAGATGGCTCTTTGTTCACTAGAACGGCATTCTATTTTCTGTTCGTTTTGCAAGCACGAACAGGCGATCCGCCATCTATATATACAACCAGGTCACTTGGTATAACAGAGTACGCAGACGACCCTTTGTACAAGACTCTATTTTTCGAACCTTGATCTAGATGACAAGCACGTTTACTTTTTACTTCTAGAACGAAACAAAATAACAACACCCTCGACAGAAAGACGAGAAGCGGAACAGCAGAACCGGAGAGTGAGAGGTAGTCTTGTCTGTTTGCCTGATTTGCAAACGACCTTTGGCGAGAAGACTCGCCATTGGCACTTCCTTTTCTCTCTTTCTTCTCTTTATTTGTTTTCTCGTGTTTCTTTTACCGCCGTTCGCGTGGGTTTTTGGCCCTTGCGCCGGTATCCTCTCACAGCATGTCGACCATTCCTCTCCGATACATCTCGGGCAACGTCCTGCACGCCCTGGCCGTTGTCCTGAGTCTTCCGCCAGACAGCCTCGAGCAGACTGGCCGCCACACGGCCACGCCGTCTGCCACGTGGCAGGCCGAGCAGGCGGCCCGCATTCCTGGCCTGCCGCGCTGCCTCCTGATCCCTCCCATCCCCCACCTGTCTGTCAAGGTCGCCCAGGTGGCGAAACGGGTTGTCATTGCCGCCGCGGGCGGCGCCGATACGCTCGCCGTCAAGGCCGCCTCCAAGGGGATTCGGCTGGACGCTGTCCTCCACCCCTGCTCCACACCGACGGCGCTCTGCTCGGCACATCGCGACCTCCATCCGACTCTTGTGCGGGAGATGTTTTTCTATCTCTCGCGCGAGGTCGCCGACAATGCCGATTTCGTCCGCCGGCACCCTGTGCACGACCGCCTTGACAAGAACGACAACGACAACGGCGTCAACGACAACGGCGACGCTCCTGAAGCAATCTGCCACACTCGCGACGTGCACGACTGGGGTCTCCGCATGATTGGTATCAGCGCGCTGTGGTGTACGCGGCACACGTTCCGAGCGCTGGAAAAGGGCCGTCAGGTCTTGCACCGGCCACCAACGAGTGCCAAGGCTGGCTCGTCGGCGGGTTCGTCGACAACGTCGCCCTCCCAGTCGTCCACCCACATCCGCAGCAGCATGCGCATGCCACACCTGCAGTACCCCTGCGAGGCGTGCATCCTGGCGGCCGTCGGCGCCCGCAGCCAGACGCTCATCGACCTGCGCGCCAGCATGCTGAGCCGCATGGCCGAGGAGCACCACGACAAGCAGCGGCGCGACCGGCGCCGGGGCACGATTCCGTCGTCGTCGTCGCTCGACAAGAAGAAGAAGCCCCGCGAGCCCAACCTGCTGCCCCTCGTCGAGACGTACATCAACGTCCTCGGCCGCGACGTTGGCGACGAGATGGCGGCTGAGATCCGCGCGCGGAGCGAGGCGCTCGCCGAGTCGATTTTCGACGTGCGCCTCTGCGAAGCGCGGCGCCGGCGGCACGTGGCGCGCGACGTCAAGCGGCTGCAGCGACAAGGCAAGTCGACGCGGTACGTGCGCGACCCGTGCACGCCGCGCCTGGTCACCAAACACGGCCACCGCCTCCCGCTGCCGCTGCTTCCGCTCGACTGCGATCTGTGGGCGCACTACAACGAGTCCGTCGTTGGTGGCAACAAGCAAAACTACCAACCGACCCCTGGCCATGCTCATGGCGCCGACCCGTCCGGAGCGTACGACGAGAGCCATGAGCAGTACTATGTTGTGCCCGACGAGGAGGTGGAGAAGGGGCAGGAGGAGGCGGACAAAGCACACCCAGACGAATGGGCGGGCGAGATGGCAAGCGACAAGAGCACGGCTCAGCAGCACCCTTCCATGATGGGCAGCGACGCTTCGGCGCATCTTGGCTACAAGGAATACCATGCCCAGGGCCAGCCCGAGCCGACTGTGGCGGAGGAGACGCCGGCCCCCGAATGCGAAGAGGACTACCGGCGCAATGTGCTCGAGTCGGAGACGGTCTTCTCGTCGGATGTCGCCGACGAGCGTGCGTCGACGGGCCACAGCAGCGACGACGACCACGCCTCATATGTCACCATTAGTGTCTACACGCAGCTGCCTCTCAACCAGCTTTCCAGCCCAGTTCCCGACCTGCCCCCCAGCCATGCGGGCCCTGGCCGCCGAGCTGCTGCTGCTTCTCTCTCAACGATGCCTGTTCGCAGTCTCTCTCCGATCCCCGGCACTCCTACTTCCACGGCCGCCCGCTCTGTTGTCAGCTCTGTCTCACGGCACTCCACTCGTTCGATTCGTCCATCGTCTACCAGTGAACTGCCGCCCCGGCCGGCCAACCCGACGCCGTCTTCGCAACCTCGCATCTACCCGCCGGCTCCGACCTCGAGCGTCTACTCCCGCGTCACGGCGGCGACCCAGAACGGCCAGAAGACCTCCAAGGCCAAGCAGGCGTTCTCTACCATTCTGTCTGAAGCTAACGCCTCGCAGACATCTGCCTCCTCGGCCAGCCGGGCGATTCCTTCGCCTCGTTCTGCCAAGGCGTCCACATCAACTGTGCCGTCTGCGTCGTCTTCGCTCTCGTCTCTTACTCGGCCGACGGCGTCGTCTTCCTACCGCTCTCGCGCCCCGAGCACGCCGACTCCTCCTTCCAATGGGCGCAAACCGACGTTGGTAGCGTCATATGTGGCGATGCAGGCCGTCATGGACGCGAGCCGCAGCCGGAGCCGCGTCAACGTGGCTGCGACGATTCCTAAACCTGCGACTTCCACTTTGGCGAAACCGTGCTCTGCCGCTTCGACGGCGTCCAAGACCACCAAGTCGACAAGCACCACCTCCAAGGCACCGACCGAGAGGACCTCCCGAAGCACGGTTTCAAAGTCGTCCTCGATACCATCCTCCTCGCCCGCCACGACGGTGACCAACCTGAGCCGCTACCCACTGCTGCCCAGGTCGACGTACCGGCCGCCGTCCATGACACAGCGGTCAGCCATGCCGCCACCGCTCTTCTCCAAGTCTGGCCAGCAGAAGCAGCAGGAGACGCAGGAGACGCAGGAGACGCAGAAAAAGGTGCGCACGCCTATGCGTTCATCGCGGGCTTCCCCTCTAACCACAAAGGCTTCCACCTCCGCCGCGCTTCCCAAGACGCCCTCAGAGACCAGTTCAGACGTGTCGTTCGATTGGAGCCAGTCAGCCCCGTCGGATCTGAGCGTCGGCGAAGGGCCCCGTCATCGTCCAGATTATGCAATCTTTGTCGACGACGACAACGACAACGACAATGGCTCTGCTGGCCCATGCTCCATCGCGCCCGACGACTCCATCAGTGTCGTCGCTGGCGACCGGCACCAAAAGGAGACGGACAGGCCGACACGGCTGCGGGGCAAGACGGAGGCCGAGCAGCCGCGCCGGTGGCTGCAGATGCAAAGGCAGCGACACCAGCAGACATTGACGGCGCCGACACGGCCAGGTCGTGGCCAGCAGGGCCCAATTCCGCGGATCCTGAACCACTACCAGCCAAATAACAGTCGTCGGCCGCCCCAGGCACCACCGCGGGCACCTCCTCAGCCGCGGCAGCCGATGCGGCCACGGACGCAGGCCGAGGTCGAGAACAAGCCCCTGCCTCGTCTCCCCGCCGAAGCAAAGACGCAGCGTTGTGTTTGCCAGGGTGTCCATCCACAGAAGCATCACACGTGCGGGTTGCAGGAGCAGGTGGCTGACCGGCCGACGTCCAACCTGACCAACTGCACGGAGTGGCCCAAGTGTTTCTAACACGACCACCGCCACTACCAGGTGACGGTTTCTCTGTTTCCTTTGTTAAAGGCGACGTCTCTTATGTAAGTTTTTAGAATGCCAAACACAGCCAAGTACATATGGCGACAACTTAAACAAAAGATTCAAAACAACTTTTTTTCATTATGAACATGCCGTGCACCAACCAGTCTCGCAACTATGCACGCGTTCGTCAATAGGACAAGTATGCATTTCGTAAACGTACACGTAAATCACATTCGCTTTTCCATGCATCCAGCCACGCGACCCTGTCGACGGCCCGTCGCTTCCTACTCCTTGTCCTTTTTGCCCTGCATCTCCTCGCCTTCGTACAGCTTCTGCAGCGCCGGCAGGTACGCGGCGGCCAGCTTGAAGTCGCGCAGGCGCACCTGCATCTGGTCAAACGCCACGAGCACCTGCATCTCGGCCGCGCTGTTGTTGTTGGTGCTGTTGTCGTCGTCGCTGTTCTCGCCCGACGCAAAGACGGGAATCTTGGGGTAGCGCTGCGAAAAGTGCGTCAGCAGCACGCGGCGCGCGCCCATGGCGCGGCCCACCTCCAGGGCCTCGCCCATGGTGCTGTGCTTCTTGGCGCGGGCCTCGCCGACGAGCTCGTCGTCGAAGGTGCTCTCGTGGAGGAGGAGCGTCGCCTGCTGGCCGATCTCGGCAAAGTCGGTCGAGGGCCGGCAGTCGCCCGAGTAGGCGACTTTGAGGCGGTCACCGCCGGTTGTGGTCGTGGTCGCGGTCGTGGCCGGCCACGTAAACACGCACGCCAGGGCGCCGTGGCAGTGCTGCACGCGGCACGCGTCGATGCGCTCGAGGCCAAACTCGGCCTGGAGCGCGGGCGAAAACGTCTTGGGCACACAGACGTTGGACCGCGGGCCGTCGCGGGCGTGGTTCTCGAGCGCCACCTGCCAGATGCGGTCGAGCCCAATGTCCTCGACGTCGGCGTACTCGCGCAGCCACTGCAGCATGTTGACGTGGGACGCGACCATGAGCCGGCGCGTCTTGCCTTCGTTGCTTTTTGTGTCCTCGCTGGCGCCCGCCGTCGCGGCGGTGGCGTCGCGCCACGCCTTCAAGACGCTGACCGTGCCCAGGTGGTGGTCCGCGTGCAGGTGGCTGATCCACAGCACCTTGAGGTCCCGCAGCACCTCGCGCAGCTTGGCCGCGCCAAAGAGACGGCGCATCGACCCCAGCGTGTTCTCGCCGCAGTCAAACAGGTAGCTGCCGACACCGGGCACGCGCACGAGCGTTGCTGAGACGTTGCGGTACTTGGACGGCATAGCCGAGCCCGTGCCCAGCGGAATGACTTCGGTGTCCGGATGCGGCAGGCCGGCGTTGCCGGCGTCCACGGCGCTTTGGAAACCAGGGGTGGCGACGTGGGCGCGGGCGGTATCGGCGAGCGCGAGCACCTGCGGGTCCATCTCGGCCAACGCCTCGGCAAAATCAACGTACGGGTAAATCTTGTGGTCTTCCTCGAGGACCTGGGGCGCCAGACGGACCGACCAGCCGGGGCGGGCGGGCACAAACAGAGATTGGCCCGTGGATGCAGCCGGCACGGCGAGTGTGGGCTCCACGTTGTCGTACTGCTGGATGGGGAAGCGGTCCGGGTCGACGCGGTGGTGCTTGGCCTGCAGGGCGGCGGCCGACGACAAGGCCAGCCGGTTGGCGCACGTGTCCGTGGACGCAACGGTGTGGCGGACCTTGGGGTGTTGCTGCATAAACGCCTGGATGCGCGCGTCGTTCAGGACGCCAGGACCCAGCAGCCAAAAGATGGTGTCAATGGCGCGCATCACCTGGGGGTGGGCCCACTCGGGCTTGGCCAGGAAGGCGTCAATGTACGACACATCCGGCAGCTCGACGACGGCGAACGCGGCGCCCTCGACGTCGGCGGCAATGACCATGTCGGGCGTGACGGTGCGGCCGTCGGCGGCGGTGACGCTGTGGCCGGCGACGAGGTGGCGGTTGTCATGCTTGGCGACGCCCAGCTTGGCAGCGGCAGCGGCGTCAAACTTGCCGCGGCGCGGGTGGTTTCGCACAATGTAGCACATGGACTGGCGCGCGGGGGCGGTGTGGGGAAGGGACTCGATGAGGGCGCCGGGCCACGGCTGGCGCACGAGCACAGGGATGTCGGGGACGTCGGCACCGCCCGGTCCCGTGGGCAGGGGGCCATCGTACTCCTTGAGGTGGCCCTGCTCGTCCTTGACGAAGAGCTTGGCCGGCAGCTTGGCGGCGTGGAGGGTGGTCTCGACGAGGGCGTCAAGGGTCCAGTTGGAGTCGAACATGTGGTGGACGACGGAATCGACGAGTTCGCGGTCGGCCGCGTCGCGATCGGACGACGCCGTGGGGGACTCGTGTGCTGTGTCGTCGTCGCTTGTTTCGAGGGCGCGCTTTCGAGAGTCACGGCCGTTGCTGTCGGCGCCATCCGCAAACACGGGCACGTACCACACCATGATGTTTTCGTCCGACCAGTCCGGTTCGCGGACTGTGTCCGACGACGACGCGGAGGCACTGCCCGCGAAACTGGTGTCGTGACGCACCTCGTGCGGCTTGATCGGCATGCCCTTTCGAAAAATGAACCGCCGCGCCGTCGCGATGACGTGTGTCAGGTTGATACCGCCGTGGATGCTCAGCGAGCGCGGCGGGGCCGCCTGGGCGGCCGCCAGCCCCGCCACGGCGGCCTTGTATGCTTCCTCGGCCTTGGCACCGTTCTTGTTGTCTTTCCCGTCCTTGCCTTTGGTCTTTGCTGCGGCGTCCCGCAGCTTCTGCGCCTTGGCAAGCTTTGCTTTGGCCTCGTCCACGGCCGCGGCGGCGGCGGCTTGCACCACGTCCGCCACCGTCAGCACCATGCCCAGCAGCCCGCCGGCCGTGTGCCAGCCTATGGGCCCCGTCAAAAACACCTCATCGGCGCGGCTCAGCGACACCTTTTGCTGCACAAAGGCACGCTGCGTGCCTTCGGCGACGTTGCCAAAGAGATAGCGGCGGTTGTCATGGTGGACGAGCAGACAGGTGCCAGGGGTGTCGGCCGTCGGCGTGGTCAGGATCTGGACGTAGTTGAGCATGGGGGCCACGGGCCGCTTCGGAGGGCGGGAGGAGGAGGCAGTCGCGTGTTCCGTCGAGGGAGGTTCGTCTTTGGCGTTTGTGTCTTGGAACAGAAAATAGCGGACACGGCTCTTCCACGATCGGTTCAAATGGTGGGATGGGAAGGTCTTGACAGAGCTTGAAAACAGGCCCTCGGGGACTGTCGAGTATTTGAGTGGAGATGGAGGGTAGTTGTGAGGAGAACGGCGGCCGGCGTGCTTTGATATAGTTGGTGTGTTTGAAGTGTTTGCTGGATTAAGTGAACTAGAAAAGGCTGACGCTTGGTCCGGCGGCGACGGCGAGCGAAACGGCGTGGCGTGGTGAATGGGCGAGTGATGTGGCGCCGTCGTCCGCTGCCGCTTTGATGTGTGCATGGGCGGCGGGGAGCTGTCCAGTGCCGCCGTCGTCGAAGAAAATGGCGATCTTCGAGGTGAAGAACAAAAAGAAAATCGAGAAATGCGAAGAGGGGCAGCGCCGGAGCGAAATGAATGGAAGAATGGCGCCGGTCGGTAGGATGGTGGTCGCATGAAGGAAAGGATAGGCCGCGGATATGGCCGGTGACTATAAAACGAGGGGGTTGACGGCGATCATCGTCAAGTGGCGTGTCGTCGATGTAGATGACTCTTACGGAGAGGGGACTTTTGTTTACGGCGGAGACGTCTGAGGCAGCTCTTGCCATATTGATAGATCTGCCGACTTTTTCTTCGGCCTCGTCCTATCGATAAGAAACACGGCTGGCTAAATGCAGTACAGACAGCAAGGAGTGTACCAGCAGATGTATGGTGGGAATAGACACTATGGCTACCGTTTGTACCAGCCAGTCACGTGCATTCGCTTCACCCAGATGGAGCTTCCTGGCTGGTGATAGTTCTCCACTAAATAGACGTCGAGACATTACGTTGCCAGTCTCTCTCACATTTCGTCGTCACAACCTCGACTACAAACCCCCGTCTGCAGCCATGGCGCCCATAGGGCACTCCGCGACGGCGCAGGCCGAGAGTAAGCTGCTCCCAGCATCCAGCCAGCACCCCAATGCCTACTGATTGACACGCACTGACGCTCCCACCCAATCCTCCAGCGGCCATTCGCGACACCATCCAGTCGCTCTACAATGTGATGCTGCACACAAGCGCCTACGATGCTGCCGGCTCACACACGTCCCTCGATGCCCTCGTTGCCGAGGTGCGGATCCTCTCGCAGGCCCTCCGGGACGTCAACGAAGTCGTCGAGAACGACAACAACGGCAGCGGCCCCAACAGCGTCGTGACCCTCGACAGCACCGGCACCGGCCACCGCAGCTTGCCGTCCGTGCCTCGCGACCTTGTCCAGTACGTCGAGGCCGGCCGCAACCCGGACATTTACACCCGTGAATTCGTCGAGCTCGTCCGCCGCACCAACCAGCTGCGCGCCGGCAAGCGCGGCGCCTTTGCCCAGTTCCGCGACACGCTGGCGGGGCAGATCCGGTCGGCGCTGCCGGAGCTGGGCGGGGACGTCGACCGGGTCATGGGGGCGACGGTGGAGCACCCAAGCCAGGCAGACGAACGAGGAGAACCACACACCGCCCCTGGCTCGGCGCAGCCTGCCGCGTCCTTGGACGGCTCCTCCAAGACGACCCTCGTGGGTGAGGCCGAGACGCCTGGAAGCCACGGCGGATCTGCGCTTGTTGTGACGGCCACGGCGGCCCCGACGGGAACAACGGCAACACAAACCACTGCCAACGTGCCCGCGTCGGCGTCGGCATCGGCCTCGCCGTTGGCGCATCCGGGCAGCGGCGGCAGCAACCAAGCAGGCGCAGGGACACCGTCGGCCAACTCGGACGCCGGCAGCGGAACAGGGAGCGGCGGACCCCATGGGGTCTCGTCCGCGCCGACGACGATTGACATGATGGGCATCCTGCCGTCGACGCCACAGCCCACATCCGCGGCGGGTGGGGGGACGGCCAGTGGGAGTGGCAGTAGCGCGGCAGTAGGTGGAGGAGCTGCCGGCAGCGGCGGCGATGGTGGACAAGACGCGATGGAAACATCGTAGTGGATGGGATACGACAAATGTGCAGATGACGATCGCAACTGTATGATACTTGATACGTGACACTGGCTGTACTATATACCCCGAGACGGACGCGACATTCTACATACTTGTATTTACTTTTTATGTTATTTTTGATTTCCTACAAAGTCAACTGACCCTCAGTTCTCCACGTGCTACCGCGCCTCAAAATGCTTTACTTTTCTGTCTTGTACGAAATGACGGACACGCCGCGTGCAACGAATTCGGTGTCTGACGACGGCCCGGGCGACCCCGACGAACCCTCCATCTGCAGGTCCAGAATCAGGTACAGCGCCTTGCCGGTGAAGCCCCGGCCAACTTGCGTGGTCACCAGCTGGCCGTCCATGTAGAACCGCACACCCACGTCGCTGCCGTTGGCGTCCCACAGCACGCACCGCACCGCGTGAAAGGCGCTGGGGCTGGGGTACGCCACGTCCTTGGCCGCCACCTGGCTCGACGTGTTGAACGTGTTGAACGAGATCTTGCCGCTGCCCTTCCACTCGGCCAGGTCCACCTCGGGCGGCCACCCGTCGACGGCCGTCAGCCAAAAGGCCGGCCATGTGCCCCGGGCGACGGGCGCGCGGAAGTCACCAGCCAGCTCGACGGTCGTCCCCGTGGCGACGGTCATGTGCTGCCGCGCGTGGATGGTGCCCGACAGATAGTGGATCGAAATGGACTTGCCACCGTGGCTGGCGGGCTTCTGGCTGCCGTCGGTGACGCGCTTGGCCGTCATGGTGAGCGTGTTCGCGTCGGCGGCCAGGTCGAGGCGGCTCTGGCCCTTGTCCATGCGCGCGGCGCCGTTGTGGTCGGTGCCCCACGGGTAGTTGTAGTCCCAGACGGCGTCAAACGCAGACTGCGAGCTGAAGGAGTCTCTGGGGATGATGGTCGTCGTGGGGGCGGCGGACATGTCGTTGGTGGTTGCTTCCGCCATCACAGATAGAGACTGCGCCGGAGTGCTTGCTGCGTGGCCGCCGTACGCCAGCAATAACACCGACGCGAGCATCGAGTGTACCTGCATTGTAGTTGACGTCGCAGGTGATTGTGGCCGATCGCAACACGCGACATCACACACTCAAACGAAGGTGTCGCCGCGCGTACTTGTGCATCCTTTTATAGTATTATAGAGGCGATTTATCGCAATTGGAGAGCGGGTGTTATACAACGTGGCCTCCCTGCAATCTACGAGCCGTCTCTGCCTACGCCACAAGAAAGCATGCACGGATATACATATATAGTATTAAGCACACGGCTTCATCTTTTAACATGGTTCTATATTAGGAAATGCTCCTCAGAGGTGGAGGCCGCAGGCCATAAGTGGTTTTGTAAATCCATATGCCTCTTACTGTCTATGCAGCAGCCGACGGACCTCTATAAATACGGTAGCTCCCACTGGAGTTTCTCCTCCTGATCGTTACAATTGTGTCATCGTATTCCCTTGAAGCCTCCCACGGACTGAAAACCATCTTGCAACCCGGGCCGAAGAGTAGCCATCCAGACGATGGCATCTCATCAACTTTAGAAACGGGTCCACCGAACGGTTGACTATGAATTCCGACCCCATTTGGAAGCAGATATAGTCTAAGAGCACAGAGATCTGACCAAGACTTCGAATAGGTGAGCTGTCATTGGAACACATAATCACCGTCTTTTATTATTGTTCATCTGCAGGCACCGACACGGCAAATGTGATTTCTGGCCCCCACGAGAGCCGCCTGGCTGCAGTATATCGTCCCAGAAAGGACCAGTCAGAGTATACAAGGAACGAGAAGCCGTGTGTGAGGTGTGTGTTTGTAGCAGGCGCGGTCGACATATATCGGTGCGTCATTAAGCAAAACAGTACGTACCATCGATCGCTCGAATAAAATAAACAAAATGTATGGTGGACTACGGTACTTCAGGCCTGTCATCTAGCCTTGGTGTTACATTCGTAGAAGGCTCTCTAATTTGCCAGTTGGCCGAGAAACAGAATCCTAGCAGGTCACGTGTTGGTTCCAGGATGGTGGTCCTATCCCTGAGAGACCTCATTTGCAAGAATGTGATGCACATCATCCCACACACAAAATTCACTTTACATGGGACTTTTGTGCCCAATGCAGTTGATATCGCCCAGTCATAACCCTACGTGTCCTGTGAAAGGCGTATCGTACCCGGGTCCTGCATGTCTCTCACTCTCGCACTTCGCTCTGTCACGAACGCATCCCATCGCGTGACCAACGTCTCTACGGAAAAACAAGGCTCGAGTTTAGCTACCTCACTCCTCATTGGTCTGCCCCTGTCCCATCGTCTCAGGTCTTGCTAGCCGACATGGAGTATTACTGCAGGCTTTGTGACCGATATTTTTCACATCGCCAAGCGCTCGAGCAGCACCTCGGGATGTCGAGCAGGCATATTTTTTGCACGCGATGCCGGCTCGAATTTTCTTCCCTGAACGCAAAACGACATCATCTCGCGGTGTCCCGTGCGCATAATATTTGCAGAAGGTGTCGCGACGGGCCAGATTTCTACAACGAAGTCAGGCTCCACCAGCACGAAGAGGACGAGCACAACATCTGCGGCATATGCGGGGCCGATTTTGCGACTCCGTCCAACCTAGAACATGTGAGTGCTCTATACACTTCGTTTTCGAAAAAAAACAGTGGCTTATCCTCATGGCTCATCCTCCAGCACCAATTGGTGCACAAGCCGAAGGCCGTGCCCTGCCCTGGGTGCGACCGCATGTATGTTTCCATATCCGCCATGTTGCTACATCTCGAGGCGGGAACATGCGTCTCGGGCATGAATGTGGACACACTCGCCGCACTTGCTCGCCACTGTAGTTACTCGCACGGATACGTTCTATATTCCCCGAAAACCGGCTTTGAATGTCCAGCATGCGCTACTTTTGCCACTCACGTCAGCGGGCTTTATCAGCACGTCGAGAGCAGCTGCTGTGACGAAAAGGTGACGCCCGGAACGCCACTGTGGAACTTCATACGGTTCCTACAACATTGCCTCGCATGGAATCGATAGCGAATGTATTAGGTTGCGAAAAAGGAACGGCGTTGACTCGCCTGGGAGGAATGTTCGTCGAGCGAGTGGCCGTCCCCAAAGGCGAGATCCAGCGAGGGATCTGATTAGGTTTCAATGCTGCACTCACAATTGTTCTGAGAGGTAAATGTTTTTTTCTTCCCTTCGTTCTTCTTGACTATACTGGTCTTTTACTCACTCGTTTCCTCCAAGATGTCATGTTGTTCCACCCATGGACGACCTGCGAACGCGAAAACTGCGATAAATTTCACCGTAAGCATTTTACATTTATGATAACATTGAGAAAGTGATGCCAACTCGTTACGAAGGGTGGTAGTGGTTTACGGCTGTGCTCACATGGTATGCTCTCTCCTTGTTCTACGGTATCAAACGTTGCCGCGGCGCAACAATATAGCTATGTAAGAAGGCACAACAGAGCTACACTCTTCTGGAAGGCGACCGCTACTGCTCAATCGTCTGCAAAATCAGCGCCATACAATCTGGGATGGCGCTTCTTCGCTTCAGTTTCCATGTGAAGTTTCTCCGGCGTGGTCAACAGAGGACAAAACGAGTCACTCTAATACCGTATCTCCTCGCCTCGCCTCATGTTAATTTATAGTTCAAAATTGTATTCATGTACTTATTCCTTCGCCACGTTCTTTAAATAATTCTGTTCAGCTCCCCCCGACGGCGCATGACGCCGGCGGCCTTGTCAATGAATTGCTCTTCGTCCTTGGCGATGAGGTCCTTATAGTACGGGTCCTCGAACGCCGCCTCAAACGCTTCGAGGCTCTCCATCTCAAAGACAGCACAACCGTCCCAGTTTTCGAGTTCCGTGTTGCGGCCGGCGCGTTCGGGGCCGACGACGGTGCGGTTGGTATTCATGGCCGGGTAGAGGTGGATCTGTGGGGGCCGTGGGCCGCGGGCCAAGTGCATTAGCGAGAGGCGAGTGAGTAGGTATCACGAGCGCAGTGAAGCGAGAATTTCGAACGCAACGCAATGCGATCGAAGTGAGGCCACAAGACGACGCGAAATACGAGCGAAGCGAGGACACAGGACAGACGGGGATCGACCTACCTGTCTATACTCCAAAAACCCGTGCTTCAAGGCCCAGGGCTTGACGAGCGGGCCGTGGACATGGACCCAGTGGTGGTAGAACTGTTCGTGGGTGAGGCCCGGCTTGCGCTTCATAAACGCGACGATGCTGACCGTCTTCTTTGGTGTTTCGCTGGACATTGTGGCGGGGACGCGCGGTTGCGAAAAGCACGTTTGTTCGTGAACCTGAGGTCGAGGTCGGAGGAGACAACGTCGCGGATGGTATTATAATATAGAGAGGACGTGACAGCTGTGAGCTGTGGTTCCGTTCGTGTTGTTAGCACCGCACTACGGAAAAGAGTACCCGCACAAACGGGCGGGCAGCTGCTAAACCAAAAGGAGAACTAACAATACAACGACCACGACACCGAAATTTAATAAAATACATGCAAGAGCGGATGCACAATGTCTGGAATATAAACTAGGGCGTATGTACCGGTGCGTGGCCCATCTACTGTCCGTCGATGAGTCGCATAAAAGTATATGTATTCGTGCTAAGCAGCCCCTACAGAGCTAGTCTAGAAAAAGAAGCTCTGGCCTGAATAAGAAATAATGTATTCACAGCCCAGCGGGTTGCACGCCTCGTGCTCTCGCAGCTGGTCCAGGATAATGTCGCCCGCAGGCGGCCCGTCCCGTAGCTTTTCCTTGACATGAATAATCACGACCTTGAGGCCCTGGAGAGGCAGCGGCTGCGGTTCGGTTTGTGGTTGATACGGTACCGCCAAAGTAACATCGGGAATCGATGTTGGCGCCGTGGATGGTGCCTGCAGGACGTCGTCATCCAACGACGGCAGTGAGGGGTCCGCGTCCGAGAGGGACGGTTGTGTTGCTGGCGTTGCGATATGGACGGCTTCGGCCTGCAATGCGTCGCTGCTCACGTCGACAGGGATAGTCGGTGGCAGCACAGCGCTGGTACTTTCTGTGGACGAAGCAATCGCCACCCGTACCGGCTTCACGGTTCTCGGCGAAACAGGGTCTTCTGGTACTGGAGGTACTTCGATGGACACGTGGCCCGCTGGCGCTGTATCTGATGCGCTTTCGCCGGGAGCCGTTTCCAAGGCCTCTGTCTTGCGGCGACTGTGACTAGCAGTCCGAGAGGTGTTACTGATGCTCATGCGGTCGTCGTCGCCTCCATAGCGCTTGCGTTTCCGGCCGTCGCGGTCGCGGTCGCGGTCACGGTCCCGCTGGTACTGCTTTTGCTGTTCCTGGATCTCGGCCTGCTGTTGTTGGTGGGCGATACGCGCATGAGCAACTTCCGCGGCCAAATTGGCCATCTCCTCGGCCACAAACCGGGGCGTCAGATGGCCGTAAAGGCGGTCCAGTGGTTGCGAGTCGTCGTAGCTGCACTCGACAAAGATGGCGGCGAGGTTACCAGCCGCAATCTTGGGCGCAGCCTCTTGCCAAATAAGGCCGTTGCGTGGTGACAACGAGATAGAATCCGGCTCAACGTCGCCAAACATCAACACCTCTCGGCCCGTTTTCACATCGCGGATAAAGTAGGCGCTCGAATCGTAGACGCATATGCTTTCGCCTTGTGCTGCTTGTGGTATAAGACCGCCGAGACTGCCCTGGCGTGCAGCAGCAACGCTACCGCCACCAGACAGAAGAGCCAAGCTTTCCCGTCGCTGTGGCCCAAGCAATGGTGTTGTCTGCTGGGACGGTGGCGGCTGTTGTGAGGGTTGCTGGCCCGGGAGCGCGGGCACCTGCTGCTGTTGTGCCGTTTGTGCATGATGCTGCTGCTGCTGCTGCTGTTGCAGCTGTGGTTGTATTGACAGCGGTACGAGGGGCGAGGAAGACGATGGTTGGTGGGACGCGAGACGAGGACTGAGGACACCGGCGTTCAAGGAGCCACTGCTCGCATCCATGCTTCCGAATCGCGTATTTGAGCCGCTGCCCCGGTGGCTGTGCCGTTCAATACAATGGCCGTGGCTCACGCCCCAGATCTTGACGGCCAGGCCGTCGCTGATCTCGACATACCCGCGGCCTTCTCCGTCACCCAGAGCCGGCGAACCGCCTTCCACGAGACGCATAAATGTGACAAGGCCGGCGCCATTGTTCTCGTCCGAGAGGTTCGGCCAGATGACGTTATTGAAGATGTGTGTCTTGAAGGCAGAGATCGTCGAAGGGAGGCCGGCCAATCGCTTTGGCCGTGCTCCGGGCAGGCCGGCTGTGTTGATGACAAAACCGGAAATGTGGTCGAGATGCGGATGTGTGATGAGATACGTGTCAACGAGAGCGCTTTGGACAAACGACGCATTGGCGGCTGCGGATGCATGTGGTACCTCAAGGCCGGCAAAGGGCCCAGATGTAAGAGTGTATGGCAGAGATAATGATGGTGGTTCGGGCGTATCGCTTCCCTCGTCGCTTGGCGAAGTCGTGGCAGCTGCACTCAAACCTTCTGGTAACGACTGCTCAAAAATGCGCGTAATGGAGCTCATCATCACGCCGGCATCCAGCGCGACAATCGAGCCTCGTCGCCATCCCTCAGCAGTCGACCGCACGAGAAAGGCGGTCGTGTTGGATTCGAACGGCCCACCTCCAGATCCCTTGAAGTTGAATACGTCAGCTCCAATTCCACAAAAGGTTTCTTCACTAAGACCATGTGCGAATACAGGACAACAAGCATTGAAAGCACAAAACGAACGACAGTGGCTAAAAGGAGAGGAAACAAAAGTAATGGACGACGCTAAATGGCGCGTTTTGGACCAGTAGACCAGGTTTGGTCACAGTTGCTTTCCTTTGTTGCTTTGCGTCCCTTTGTCCTTTGTTTGTGAAGCTCGAGAGCGCAAGCGCAAGCGCGCCCGTTGCTAGGCCCTGGCTCTGAACTTTTGCGCCTTCGTTCCTTATGCCGATAAGGATTTGCGAGACGCGACGTAATTTGAGCGGTGGCAAATGATTACCTATCGGGGGAGAGCCTGGCAACCGGAGGCCGTCGTCCACTGGGACACTCTATGCCTGGGACAAGCTGTGCAATGAAATAAACCGCAGCGACGCAAGTCAACTTACAAGAACAATCACTTGCAGAGCTGGCGAGCTGGAGGCTCCGGCCGACGCATCGGGCCCGCCGCTGCCACTCATCGTATTCCAAGGTGCGCTTCCAGAGAGCCAGTGCGTAGTGGTCTCGTGCTTATGGCCGGCGTTCGTCAGATGTACTCCGCATGCGCTTCCTCAATTGGTATGGTGAGGGGGGCTTCACGCGCGCTGCATTGGCGCTCCTTGACGTGGTAAGTGATTGAACGACCGAAAGGAAGATCGATAGCGGGCGAAAGCAGCCCTCTATGTACGACCTAAGAATGCGGGCAAGCGGACTGGGCGGAGAGGCATGTGCCACGAGACAATGAGACAGTGAGACGAATGAAAAGGTGTAAGATGCGGAATGCGCCCGGTGGTGGGTGTTGGCTGCTGTGAAACGTGGGTGCAGAATGCGCCCTCACAGCAAAGAGCTTCCTGGCGACGGCGTTTGTATGTGGGTCGATAAGATGCGACGATACGAATGGGCGGCACAACTGATGTCGGTAATGGGAGCCCAGGAAGGATCGCGAATAACGTGCGAGCAGATGGGTGTGACGAGGGATCAATCGCTTAAGGTTGAAAGGGGATGCAGGGGCATATATATGTAAAGGAGAAGACGAGAATCTAGTGAAAGAGGTTAAAAGGTACGAGAGAAGGCAAGACGACGTCAATGTCCCGAAACGAACGGTAGTCACGAGCTACCGTGGGACTTTTGTGGACTTGGGTAGGAGCGCTAGAAGCCTAGAGGTGTAGTTTCCCTCAGGTGCCAAAAAAAGAGTGGGCAAGCGCGACCAAGAAGGTGTGTTACAAAGGGGAAGGAGGTATGGGGCCGTGAATGAAATGGGATGCACAAAGTTGAGGCCAGACCCACGCAAGTGAGCGAAGATCTTAAATGCGCCCAGGGAAAGTGCACAGGTGTTGGCGTTCTAGCTGTTGGGTTGGGGGCCACAGACGTTGCAACGGAGCAAACCGGGGAATGTACGGCCAAGGTGAACGTGCCCCACGAGATAACGCCCTTCCTGTTTGCTCTTGCTCAAATGTGTGACCTGCGTGAAAGCAAATGTGTGTCGCGACTCATTTGGACAAGCTTCTCATAGGGACCGTAGTGGTACAATAGAAAAATAGAAAAAGATCACTGTGTCCCAGATTTGCAGGGGGTCCGTCCTTTCTTAATTGCTTTCCTGGCTGGCGTATCCGCCGTCTCTCTTTGTGCACACCAAAACACGGCGCTCTTTCCTTTCTGGCGGAAGGCGTTGTTTCCTTGATCGTGCTTTCCTTGCGGACCGTTTCTCCCCCACGTGAAGAAAGTACGCAACGCAAGGGCTTCCGCAAGGCAAGAACAAGCGAGCAAGGTGGTCCAACCAAATTTTACGACCCGTACGCCGTGATCATGAATTTTGAACATCTTAATGAAGGGAAGGAGCAAGTGGTAACATAATCGTGACAGGAACGAGCCGCTTTAAGGTAAAGCCCGGAACAGTGGCTTGACGGGCTCAAAACGGCTTTGTTAATGGCTACTTTGTCTTCAACGCAAACGTGGCAGTTGATTGTTCAGCAGAACAGGCTCTGTCCCACATACATTGGCTTAAACTACGGGCACAGAGACGTAACAGGGGTGGCGTCCCAACATTGTGAAACTGGAAAAAGACGAAATCAAACAGCAAGTTCACCCCATCCAGCCGTCCAGAGCAGATCATTAATACAAAAATAAATCAACGAGACCAACTGTGGACGACCAAAGCGATGGTAAGTCTGGTGCGGTAACCTACCTCCGTTGCACTCCATATTATTGAAGACATTGATGTTTCTCAAGTTACGCGACCCACCTTGCTTTGTGAAATTATTTCGAGAGTGAGCACATCAATTCATTGTTTTGGGTTGGCCTCCGACCATGCCTGCTTTGCTTGTAAACGTAGCCAATCGTGCAACCTCAGTGTCCAAACTTGGAAGTCTGCTTGCAGGATTGCTTGCATGCACGTGAAAGAGGTACCTGGGGGTCTCCTTACTGCTAAGGGAGACCTGCATGCAGCGTCGGCCTACTTGTGAGCCAAAAACGGCGGATCCCCAAACATAGCTCCTTTCACCACGCCGGAGAGACCGATACACAAAGGGCGAGTACATCTCTGCCAGGTGACAAACAAGAAATTGTCCACGAATCGTGGCATATACATTTCCCATGTAGAAATCATATGAAGAGAAATGATGTGAGCAGACAACAGTTCAAAGGCAATATGTCGTCGGCACCGCCGCAAAAGTAGTACAGTGGCGCAAGGCGTACAAGCCCTTGGGATGCAGAGCCTCGACCGTTGACCCAAGCAAGACAGGCCGAGTGAGGCTCGTGTTTTCAAGAGCCTTCGAGGTTTCGTGACCCAGAGGCAAATGCAAAATGTGGGGAGCTACTCGAGCTGGCCTGTGCGTAACTGAGATCGCCGAGTTGATGTCGACTGCCTTCTTTTGATGCGTAACGACTGAGGTGTCATTTTCGGAGCTCGCGGTGTGGAGGTGTCCGCCGGAGAGATCACCCGACAACACACAATGCCAACGGGCAAATCATCACATAATACGACTCGACAACTGATTCGAGATGGCGGGGGTCGTGTCGTGTCAAGAAGATGACGAACATTTGAACGAGGGGACCAACAACGGCGAAAGGGCATGCTCCGAAGGGAAAAGGATGCCTGCTCACCTTTCCCCACTAACAGCCTCTCGGGCCGCCCGAAAGCGGGGCACAATCTGTAGCTGGTGGTCTGGCCAGGCTAGTGGACATCACTTCAACCTGCATATGGACATAAGACATCGTGAGTTTTGTTTGCCTGTCAAGCGAACAAAGCAGTATTTTCAGGGCTGTTATCTTGGCTGCCTGCGGAAAGGGCGATTGGATGATATTACTGGCTTCGTATCAGCCTGTGAGTGGGTGAGGTGGAGAAGACTTTGAAGTTGCGGGGCTTCGATGTTGACTGTTTATTCTTTAATAATTATCATGACAATATTTCACAATTGTTTTTGGCATTTATTTTGTTTTCTTAATCAATTTGTTTTGTTTTTGTTTTTCGTTGTATATATATAATATTGTAAAGCAATTGTAGCAATTTGCATTTTACGATAGTTAAATGAAAAAGGAAAAAAGAAAAGAAAAAAAAATTCAAAACAACGCACATGAAACTTGACTTAACAAAACATCAAAAAGTAACTGTAGAAAACAAAACTTAGCACTTCTCAGGACTTACCTGCCTAAACCTTCCAGAAGGCAAGGCAAAAGAAATATAAGGCATAACCTGAGCACAGCTACACTACTGATTGTAAAAGAAGCCCTCTGGAAGCTGCTCGCCGCCGGGCTGCGTGCTCATGTAGTCGAGGTACTCTTGGTAGTTAACGTCGGCAAACAGGTCCTCTTGAAACAGCCCGTGACCGACAGTGGCGCCGGAATCGGCCGTCGTCAGGTCTGCAGCATCGCTCTCCGCAATGACGGGCGTCTTTGGTTTTTCATTTGCAGCGAGCCCTGTGTGCGGGGCCGTTGGCTCAACCGGCGTGCCGCCCATGTTGTGCCGGCTCATGCTCCGTGTCACACGACGGCTGGGCGTGAGCGGCTCGTCAGCGGGCGCTGCCTCGGCACTAGCAGAAGGCTGCGGACGGCTCGACTTGTGCGGGCTGTTGGCCAGGGCGTCGCCAAGGAGCAGCTGCGGGTCGATGAGGTGGTCGGGGATCACGTTCCGGTTCTGGGCGCTATTGCTGACCTGGGACGCGCGTGCCGAGACGAGACGGGCAGCACTCTCGCGGCGAGCCTGGGTGTCGCGCAACTTGTACGGCGACGATGGGCTGGCACCGTAGGCAGGAGCAGCCAGGGGAGGCAGACCAGTTTGCGGCAGGATTTGCTGGTCGTTGAAGATGAACTGGTTGTAGGCGTTCCAGAAGGAATTTGAATCCAGGCCTAGATTGGCCATGGGCATGTCGAGAGGGCCATAATGAGCGGGCACGGGCACGGGCGGCGCCAGATCGGTGCGCACATTGAGGCCCAAAGTTGCGGCACGGACACTACGCGAGGGCGACTGAGTCGACGTGGCAGATGGAGCAAAGTTTCCAAAGCCGTAGGGGTTGTACATTGCATGGGTCAGCGCTGGAGCTGGAGCGGGCACCGTCATAGGAGCAGGCACTCCGATATACTGCGTAGCGTGCGCCTTGGACACACGCCGAGGGCGACGACGGCGAGTCGGCAATGGGGTGCGGGTGGTGGCAGCGGTTGAGTTCGCGGCCTCCGTTCGTGGTCGCTTGGGAGCGGGACTCGGCTGTGTGACAATCACCTCGACGTCGCTGTCTGCATCATCACTATCCTCGCTGCTGTCGCTCAGCGCCCGCTTGCGCTTCTTCTTGATACTGGCCTTGTGCATGGCGACCTTGCGGAGGTTGCCGCAGTGCTTGGAAATGTCAAAGCCGTTGCGCCGTTCACGCATCTTTTGACGGGTGATCGGCTGTGTCTCCATCTTCTTGACGGTGAGGAAGTTGTAAAGACGATCGCTGCTTGGGCGGGTGGCCTTCGAGATGGAGATGTTGTTGAGCACAAACCGGTCGTAGTGGTTGCTCTTCCACTCGTTGTAAGCGCCCAGCAGCGTACGACCGGTACCGTCGCGGTGGAGGCTCATGGGGTTGCGCTGCTCCAGAGGAAATTCGCGGACATCCGGCTGGACATCAGCAAACGTCATCAGCTCGGCCATGGGGATCATCTCCTCTAGGCAGAAGAGGTGCATATAGCCAGCTACGTAAAAGGGGTCAAAGCGGCCATTGGACGTCTCGGTCGGGTGCTCATCAAAACAAACCTGGTACATGCCGCGGGCAATCTTGTTGCGGGTCTCCGGGCAGTCGGAAGCGCGGCACATGGCCGATGTGAGGGTCGGGCAGCGGTCGGTGTGCATTGTTGGTTTGTTTTGGATCCACAGCCGGAGAGGGATGCCCTTCTCAGCACAGCCACGAATGTAGGCCTCGAGGATCTTGCGGTCAAACTTGACATTGGATTTCAGCTCACCTTCCTTGTTGTAGTCGATACGGACCTTGTCCTTGCCGTCGCCGACAGCCCAGTTGGGCTGCCTGGGGAATTTGTCGTACCAGTCGTACTGGCCGATGCGGTTCTCGCTGTTCTTGTCCCGGGCATGGCTAATTCGGGCACCCGGCGGGGGCGGATTGGCCTTGGGCTCGCACTGTGTCAAGATGGGGATGTTGTACAGTTGATGGACGAGAGGTGCCCCTGGACCAGGCGTGGTGTATGGCTGTGTGCGAGCCGTCGCGGCGGCCGCTTGCTGGTCTAGGAACCGCTGGAGCAGATGCTGTGGGTCGGTAGTTTGAGAGCCAGGGCGTTGGGTGGTCTTGATAATCTTCCACAGCTGCTTCTTTTGATCACGAGTGAAGTCGGGAACGAAGACGGTCGAGTCAGACGAGAGCGTTTCCAGTGAAGTACGAGCACCCACTTGCTTAGGTGTTGCTGGCATGGGCAACGCCATTGGCAAGGGATAAAAGGAGCTAACGGCGTTGTTGGTCATCGGGTGAGGAGGCGTGATTTCTTGGCCGGAGCCGAAAAGGTCGTCCAGCTCTTGGTCGGTGGGAGAGTACATGTTGTAAAGTGATCGAATGAAAAGGTGAAAGAAGAAACGCAGGTGGTCAGAAACGTGCTGACAGTATATTGGTGTCGAACTCCAAAGAATACGTTGTGAAAGAAGGATTGTAGCAGCACAGCTGAACTACTTGACGTTTCGTGAATAGGATGATTGTCGTAAGGTTGTTGAGGAATGTTACAATTGTAGAAAAGAAAGACGTAACATGCATGGGGGACAGGTGATTTTTATATCCTAAAGTTAGGGGACAACAAAATGTGCACAATCGTGCTGTTCCGTTAAAGGAAGGCTGTTCATAGAGCAATACAGCTTGAGGCACTGCCATTGTCTAACAGGTTGTAAGGTGAACATAAGACTGGACATAGGAAGTAAACAAACAAGCCAGCCATGAAAGGGCCATTGTTCGGTTGGCTTTGTTGCGGCTCATTGGCTTGTTCAATTCATTCTGTCGTGCTTTGTTGTTCTTTGGTATAAAAGGCAGCATGAGCAACAATGAAATTAATGAACAAAGTAACAGAGAACAACGTGCTGAAAGAGGGAACAAAAAAAAAGATAGTTGTAAAAGAGACTAAACAAAATGGTTGAATGAGAATCTGCAAAGAACAAAGCCAGAACTATTCATTGTGCTGTTGTTTTTAACGATGTATGGCCTTGAGAGATCACGTCCGAAGAACGAGTAAAATAAAGTAAAAATTGACAACTTACATGTCGTGGAACAAAGCGTTTGGCAAAGTTACCACTTCCCCTTTGGCCCCCTGCGGCTGGCATGCATTGCGTAACGTGTGTCTGTCGCACGAGAAGGTACTCGTGCAATAAACCATGGCAGACGCGATTTGAGATGCTCGACACCAGTCATGACTCGGTTATCGGCTTGTTCCTTTATCTCCGCAGTTTCTCAACTTTGACGGCCCGCATGAGACTTTTTAGTCGAAGACCGAGACCAGACGAGAACCTAGACCTGGCAAAGTAAGCGTGGACGTTTTAAGGGTCAGGAACGCAGCCGTGCTCTAGGGGTATACAGGATATCATGTCGTGAAGCTCAAATTGTCGTATTATTTCTCCCCTGTCCTTGGCTGTGGTGGTTGTGCCACGCCCTGCATTACTTCGTCACTTTGCAACATCGGGACGGGAAAGAAGTCGACAGGTGTGACAGCAACACAAGACTTGTCTGCACATATGCGAGTGCTGTTGTTTGCAGGTTTGGGAGCACCGAAACACGAGAAAGCACCGAAATGAGAACAATCTATCTGAAAACTCGAGAAGTGGCAGAAAAGATCAGGGGAGGGATGCATAAGAAGGTCGAAGGTCGACGGCAGGCGTAACTGCCATTTGAACCAAGGGGCAGAGCTGCCGGAATAGGAAGTCGCAAAGGACGACCCCTATGACCAACCAAGGAAAGGGCAAACCAAAACGAGCCAACTTTCCAACATCAGGGGAAGCCACGACGGAACTACTCAAATCGTCAACGATTGAAATACGTTACTCGGCGGAAGGAACGAGCGGCTCGAATTATGCTACTTTGTGGATTGTACGGATAAAGAGCGACCGGCTGGACGGCGTCTGCACCCAAAACGCTAGAAATAGCACACCAACCCCGTATTTACCCCACCACCACCGCAGGAAAACGCAGGAAAGTGCTGCAGCTTGTGGCCGTTTACGAGGAAACAAGGTTTACCTCTCCCGCACAAGCATACCGTGCGGTGGCTGGCACCAAACAGTGTGCATCCTGCCGAGGCCCTGCTAAAGTTAACGTAACAGTCCACCTAGTCCGTGCGAAAACATTCAACTGCACTGGGCTTGTCCGTCCCAACTATCATCGCTGACTGCACCTTCCCACATTTTCCCACGTTTCGCGGGTTTGACAACAACGCCAGGCCCTGGCCATTAGTCCCCCCTCCCCCATTTCACAACCACCAGATACAAGAAAGCAGGAAACGAAAGGAAACAAACACCATTTTCCTCCCGACGCCGTGTTACGTCACGAGAGTGCCGCACGCCAGCTGAGGACCCTTTACGACGTACGCCGTACCTTTCCTCGTTTCCGTTTCCTGTCTTCGCCAGCATCTTTACGTTGGCCATTCCGACGGCCGCCCAGAGGCTTCATTTTCGCACTCGGCTCGCTAGCTCCCCCTCACGATATTTCTGACTCGGCAGCATCCATTTTCTTGCGATACCCATTCGAGGCGAGCACTCGGCTGTTCTGCAGGCGACTCTTGCCGCCCGTCCCTGTTTGTGCCCGCGTGTGTTGTGGACGCTGCCCGACACAGACCGGCCGACGGCGCGTGACAATTTTGCGGCCCTCGACTTTGGCAATTGTCTCCGGACGACCGTTGTTTACCACGACCGACGATACTTTTACCGGCCTTCTGAAGAGGCTGCCAAACGTCTGTCGAGCTTCCTCCGACCAGGACACCAGACACCATGGCCGAGCTCTCGCCGGAGCTGCAGGATCGACTTGACGAGCTGGAGAAGGAGCTGGAGGTACGTGACGACCAGGAAGCCCCGGAAAAGCTACAGGATCCGATACGAGGCAGCTCGGGGCACTTTGGGAAAGCATAGACTGCTGTGTGGGGATTCGTATGCGTCGTGGAGCCCTGGCTGTGACAGGAAAACTGCTAACCGTGGCCCATTTCACACCCGCAGGAAGGAGACATCACACAGAAAGGGTTAGTGGGCAGATCCCAGCCGTCAATACCATTTTTTTTTTCGGCGACACGAACTCGTTTTCTGACTCTCCGTTCCTCTCACAGATACCAGAAGCGGAGGACACAGCTCTTCTCTCAGTTTGGCGTGCCCCCAGGCTTCCAGGCCCTCCAGACATCCGGCAGCAATGGCCCTCAGTCACCAACAGAAGGCGGCCAGCAGCAAGACCATCGCGATGCCTCCTTTGCGGCGCTGAATGCCAACTCGTCCGTCGCGTCTTCCTACTCACCCGCCCAGTCCGCTGCGACCGAGCCCCGCGTCCACTCACCGTCCTACCCAACAAACCTGCTTGCACCCGGCGGCCCAATTGCGGAGCAGCGCGCCAACCTTTCTCCCCACGACTCGCTCTTCCTTTTCCCTTCGTCTCCGCAAGGCGGCAACGACAATCGTCTCTCCGTTGTAGGAGGCAGTGGCAGCGATCCGGCGCGGACGGCCACAGACATGTCTCGATCGGCGACCATGGTGTCCACCGACTACGCGTTCAACCCGGACAGCCAACAGCAGCGTTACGACGACGGAAGCGACGGATATGGCATGAAAGATGGGGCCAAGACCATGCAGTCCATGCAGTCCATGCAGAACCCCTACGACAGCCGCGCAGGCAGTATGCTTGACACACAGCAGGCCTATTTCTCCGACTTTGCCGGGCAACAGTCCTACGACCAGGGGCCGATGTCTGGTGACTACGGCGGCGCGCAGCGCTACTCGAGCGGCGGCGGCGACCCCTTCTCCCCGATTGCACTGGGCCATGGCCCGCGCTACCCGGTCGGCGATGCTTTCTCGCCCACGGCCGCGACCGCCCCGCCCATGCTGACTGCCAACGACCTCCCGCCACCCGACGCCCTGCAGTACCAGTTGCCGCTCGAGCCGCGGGACGTGCCCTTTGCCATCTACGACCCTCACGACGGGAACACACCCATGTCCAAGTTCGACAACATTGCCGAAGTTCTGCGCCATCGCGGCCGCACGACCTCCAAGATGCCCGCTTACTGGGTCCTCGACGTCCGCGGCAAAGAAATCGCGTCCATCACATGGGAGAAGCTGGCTGCGCGTGCCGAGAAGGTGGCCCAAGTCATCCGTGACAAGAGCTCGCTGTACCGTGGTGACCGTGTGGCGCTCGTCTACCGCGACTCCGAGATCATTGAGTTCGCGATCGCGCTGCTCGGCTGCTTCATTGCCGGCGTCGTGGCTGTGCCCATCAATGATTTCAACGACTACCAAAAGCTGAACCTGATCTTGACCTCGACACAGGCCCATCTGGCGCTGACCACCGAGAACAACCTCAAGACGTTCCAGCGCGACATCACGACACACAAGCTGACCTGGCCCAAAGGTGTAGAGTGGTGGAAGACCAACGAGTTCGGCAGCTACCACCCGAAGAAGAAGGACGACATGCCGCCGCTGTCCGTCCCCGACCTGGCCTACATTGAGTTCTCGCGCGCCCCCACGGGCGACCTGCGTGGCGTTGTCCTGAGCCACCGCACCATCATGCACCAGCTGGCGTGCCTGAGTGCCGTGGTGTCGACCGTCCCTGGCAACCGGCCGAACGACTCGTTTACGGGCTCTACCCTGCGCGACAAGAACGGCCGGCTGATTGGCGGCGGCGCGAGCAGCGAGATCCTCCTGTCGTACCTCGACCCGCGCCACGGCATCGGCATGATTTTGGCCGTGCTCTTTGCCGTGTACGGTGGCCATACCGTCGTCTGGCTGGAGCAGAAGACGACCGAAGTCGCCGGCTTGTACGCCCACCTGATCTCCAAGTACAAGGCCACCCTCATGGCCGCCGACTACCCCGGCCTCAAGCGCGCCGTGTACAACTACCAGCAGGACCCCATGACCACGCGAAACTTCAAAAAGGGCATGGAGCCCAACTTCCACTCCGTCAAGATGTGTCTGATTGACACGTTGACTGTCGACCCCGAGTTCCACGAGATCCTCGCCGACCGCTGGCTGCGGCCGCTGCGCAACTCGCATGCCCGCGAAGTCGTCGCCCCCATGTTGTGTCTTCCGGAGCATGGTGGCATGGTGATCAGCATCCGCGACTGGCTGGGTGGAGAAGAGCGCATGGGCTGCCCTCTCAAGCTGGATCTCGGCGACGGCAACGACTCGGACGACGACGATTTCGACGGCAAGAAGGCCGATGCGTCGGACATGGTGACGCCCATGGCGGAGGGAGGTTTCGGCTCACTGCTGGGTGGCGGCACGACCGGCAAGACGGAGCAGCGCGCTGCTAACGAATTAAGCGAAGTGCTCCTCGACAGCGAGGCCCTCAAGACGAACGAGGTGGTCGTGCTTGC